GATCATTAAGATAAGAGAATAGGAAAATTTAGTAGATTTTATTCACTAATACTGTCCTTTCAAGAACTTTTTGTTTAATCAAGAGCAAAGGCATCAATTTTTAAAAAAGTAAAAAAATTTCATTTATTAATAATTGAACAGAATTCATATATTCTTTTAATTAAAGAGTTGCTTGTTATTGTTAACTGAATACTAATTTTTATTTATAGATTCACCTAATATCATAATATCTTTAATACTCGATCCTACCAGTCTTCAAACTTAGTTGATAAAGATTAAAGAGATTTATCATTGTAATGTTGCAAGCATTCAATTCAAATTAGAGAAAATAATCAGATTTTAGATTCGTCAAATCCAAATTAACTAATCAAATTAAGGCTGCTCTAACATTAATCGGAATCTCTTAAGATGATGCAAAAAATACACACTCTCTATAGAACATGTTATGCCTAAGAATACTTACATATTCCTTCATTTTTTAGAAGCACTCAGTAATCCAAAGTAATCTCGTTCTCTAATGCTTATTTCTATTATATTCATAAGTGTCTTTAATTAATTGAATGTTAAAGGAATTAAATTCCATATGAGATACAAAAAACTAATAAGTAGGTTTATTGGATTATTTTATATTTTCATGGTATGTGAACTTTGTGAGACTTATTCTTCTTGGGAGAATTTAATCTAATTATTACGAATTATCTATTGATTTACTTTAAGGTTAGTCCCAATCTAAACATATTATTTACTTTATCTAAATCCCAAATATCGCATTTATTAAAACTAGTTTATAATTTACCTCTTTAAATTTATTGTAAGCTTATTTCATCATTAATTTATTAATGTAATGGCGATTGTTTGAAAGTCCAAACATATGTTTAGGATTAACTTCATTTAATAACATGCTTAACTAATGATATCTTAAGTTATAATTTTGGAGTCAAAATACACAATAATCTAAAGACTTATGTAAATTGTTTACTTAATTGCATGAATTGCAAGATTGTTAATAAATATAGTCTAGGTTTGTATGAAATTTTATTTCTAGATTTTGATAATATGTAACTGCTTGTCAAATTGGATATAAAGTTTTTAATATTAATTTGCTATTATAAAATCCATATGGAATTTTCTATTCTAAGTTTTACGAATCTGATACAAATCACTAAGCTGATGCTTCGGTGATTACCATTCAGTTCTTCTATAAGTACTAGATAAGAATATTTTGAGCATTTATCCTTTAGGCTTGGCTTTACAATAATTTAGCATTTAAAGCTCTAACTTTATTAGTATCTAATATTGATTTCTTTATAAATTGATTGCTAGGTTCCACTTAAAGTACTAACATATTGATGTTCTAAACAGTCTTTATTAAAAGATCTTAACCTACAATTAGAATTCTATTAGAAAAATAATCTAATTTTTATGTATTAAATCTTCTTAAAGTATGAAATATTATTCCATTGTAAAGGATTCTTTTAAGTAATTCTGGTGTCAAATCTCCTATGTTTTATTGAAATAAAATACTTCGTATTAATAACTCTTTGCCTTCCTAAGCTTATTTCCTCCAAAAAAATCAAGTACAATATATATACAAAGAGAATCAAGTCTAATACTATAATATAGGACATCACAACTATTTTTAATTGGTTTGCTGTACCATAATTCGAAATCTTTTATATTTTGGTGATATTTAAATTCAATTTTCACATTAATATCAATTATACCTTTTCCTCCATGAATAATTCATATCAAAAGATTTAAGTCTAATCTCTATCTAGAATATCAGAATAATAGAAAATTAAACTAGATATTCCTTGAACACACAAAGACTCACTTTCCTTTTTGTAAGAAATTTGATAATCGATTTAAAGGATTAGAAAACAAAGTGGAAAATAAGATTGTGATAGAAGATATCCTGTTCTCTATATAGTGTCAATTATATTTAGTTCTAAAGCTGCTATTAAATAATAAAAATTTCATGTCTTTTTCTATTAAAAAGCAAAATTGATAATGTAGCAATTATTTCTTGGAAGCGAATAATATCAAGAGGTGCTGATATTCAGAGAGGGTATTTATTGAACTATGACAGGGATTTTGGAAAAAATCATCAATATATTTTCAAAAAAGAAAAAATTTCAACTTTTTAAAATAAGGTCTAAATTTGAAGCATAATATAATTTCATTCACGAAACTCTCGATATCTTTCCTAAGCTCGAGCACCGGATTGATGTTGGTAATTGGGAGTTATAATAAGTGCCATCTGATAGCTTCAAATATTGATACAATTTAAAATGGCAAATTTAATTAATTATGTTTAAATTCTAGTTTAGCTAACCGATCTTTTGATAATTCTGAAACTGAAAAATACTTTATTTTGTTCAAAAGGATTCTACCAAAATAAGTTTTTGTCTTATTCTAAATTTCAACTTTCTAACAAAATTATTGTCTCTGAATAATTGATGAATTTACTATTTTCAACATTCAAACTTCTCCATCTAAATACATCCTCAATACTCTAACTTATTACAAGAATGACTCATAAGATTTGATATTCGATAAAGTTATTACTTTTGTATATTCAGTAATATAGCAATTCGAAGTTCGAATATACTGAAATATATTGAACAAATTATAAGTAAGGAAACAGAAGTCTTTATTAAATATTTAATTCCTTAAATCACTATCTTTACTTATAATCTACCATCCTTAAAGTGGAAGAATTTTTATTTTAAATTATTACCTTAATTTGAGCATAGTTGCAAGGTCTATTGAATACAATAATGCTAGCCTAATCGTTAAATAGTAAAGTACTTAGTTGGTAATAGACACTTCCTGTCTTTTAGCAAATAAGATTTAAGATTTATTTAGAGCAGAGAATTACAAAATCCTAGCACTCTACCAATAATTAATTACCATAATTACAAAATTACTCATCATTTTGGATAAAAGTGGTTTTTAATTATAAAATCCATAAATTTTTAGATTACTAATTTATTGATTTAATTAATTTCTCCTAATGATTATTATTATTTGGGAAATGTACTTTAAATTCTTAATTTTTGATTTTAATGTTAATTATGAAAGAATTTTCTTATTTTAACCAAAATATCCACATATCATAAACTATTTTGATATATCGGATAAGTTCACTCTTAAATGCATATTAGAAGCTATATTAATTCTATTATAAGGCATAATAATAATTAAGTCTTTTGACTTAATGTAATAATAATAAAATTTGAAAAATATTTTTA